TCTCAATACAATCAGACTTTCTAAAAACAAACAAGAAATACAGCACAACATAAGAAAGTGCATTTAAAATGACAGCTTGTTCACAAGTCTGCTGATCTTAATACAGCAAGGGATGTGACTGTCTCAGCTATCTGCATTAGTAAAGACCAGAACATTACGATTAGCTTTAAAACTGCTAACACACAGAGTCCCTGCTCTATTAATGACACTAAGACTGAATGTTCCCTCTGAAATGTGAAGCATAGACTAGAAAGCTGGCTGAAGAACACACAGCTTTCCCTCCAAACTGTCATATCACCTACAAGATAAGGCAGTTTTTAAATGAAATCAGGGTTTTACTGAAGACAAGAGTGAAAGAAAAAGCTCAGAACCATCACAATACAATGAAAACTGAAGATTTTCTGGGGTGCTTATGGCAACTAAGTGTCTGCATTTATGCCTTTGAAACTCCTTCTGAAGGCAATTGGGAAATTTTTTTTATTATTATTGAGGAGAAAAATCTCTTTCTGTATAAAAGAGTATCTGAACACGTTCTAAGTAGAATTTAAAATATCAGAAATCCTGACATGTTTTATGTCTAAGAGTCTGAAATACCTACCAGAAAAACTGGAGAAGATGAAATACACAAAGTCTTACAGAGAAGATAGAGGTTGAATCCTTTAATTTGAATCTGCAGTAACAGTTACTTCAGAGGATTATAAAACATGAATTAATTTTTTATACTGATAGATAATTAACATCTAAAAAAAGTTTAATCAACGAATATTACAAAAGTAATATTATTACAGCCATGCTGGTCTAAGGCTACAATGCAAAACTGTAGAGATTACCTCAGTCACATGAACATGAAAAGGTCACAGACACACATGAAAGCACGTCCTTTTCCCAGACTACTTCACCTAACAGAGCTCTTCTCCTGCTGTACATATACATTAGTAAAGTATTTTCAGATATCTCCTGCATATTCACTTATATAAGAAATGTTTCATGTTCCTGTGTAGGTTATTGAAGGCTTTGAACTGTCAATTAACATGCTTGATACTACAATTGTCTACCTAGCCTACTGGAGAAAATTTGTCCCACTGACTTCTATAGAAAGGATCTGTGTTACCTATCACAGAATCACAGAATCGCAGGGGTTGGAAGGGACCTCTGGAGATCATCTAGTCCAACCCCCCTGCCAAAGCAGGTTCCCTTCACCAGGTTACACAGGAAAGTGTCCAGGTGGGTTTTGAACAAACATCTCCAGAGATGGAGACTCCACACCCTCTCTGGGCAGCCTGTCCCAGGGCTCCATCACCCTCAACAGTAAAGAAGTTTTTTCCTTAAGTTTGTCAGGAACTTCAAGTGTTCCAGTTTTTGCCCATTGCCCCTTGTTCTGTCACCAGTCACCAACAAAAAGAGCCCGGCCCCATCCATTTGGCCCCCAGAATTCAGGTATTTATAGACATTGATAAGATCCCCCCTCAGTCTTCTCTTTTCCAGGTTGAAGAGTCCCAGCTCTCTCAGCCTCTCCTCGTAAGGCAGACGCTCCAGGCCCTTCTCATCTTTGTAGCCCTCTGCTGGACTCTCTATTCTACACATAATACAATTACCTTAAAATCCACACATTCCTACATTTAGATGAGAGGACAGAAGCTTATATCCATATCAATATTCAAGTGAATAACAGCATTGTACATTGTACCAGAAGACTGAACAGGAAAAAAAAAAAATTGAAAATCACCAAAAAACATGCCAACAAGTTGCATCCTTAACAACGCTTTCTTTGCAGAAAGTTTGACAGCATAATTTTAAAATAAATAAATAAAAACCACCAACAACAAGAAAGTCAAGGCAGGAACAGCTCAGACTATTAATACAATGCTATGATATGGCTCCTGTGACTCAAATCTAAACTTCACTAAATTTAATGAATTTTTAAACTGCTTCCATGCAACACCAAAATAAGCATAAACCATGTGTGGCTACTACTTCCATTGGGCATCTTAAACACAGATTGTAATCTGCGGCTTTGTAGCTATTGCCCTATAGGATAACACTTAGCGGAACAGAGACAGAACCTTAGATTAGAAACTGACAGACAAAAAACAACTGAATAGCAACTGAAAGTCAACTTTTGCAGCCACACAAGCACAACCTTAAAAAAAGAAAATGGTGTTGTTCAAAGATCACTTCTGCAGAGATCCTAGTTACCCAAATCTCCAACTGCTAAACTGCACAAGAGGCAATGAAAAGAGAGAAATGCCTTCCTAACGTTACTTTGCACAAAAGTAATTGTTGCAACTGACACCTGACACTGCCACAGATGTCAAGCAATCAAAAAGAACGAGAGTCATGACCCGGGATAGATGGTAAGGTGGTAACACAGCATTATCCGTCACTTTGAAGCCCTGAAAAACCTTGCTGCTGTAGCACTGGGTGCTATATTTAACACACTATCACAAAGGACCTGATTATCTAAAAAAGGCAAGACAAACAAGGCTACTTATTAGCAACAATCTGAAGCATCACACAAAAAAAAGGATTTTGGATTTCACTGTTTCTTTAGCTAAAAAGGCTGCAAAAACTAAAGCCACATATTTGGGATGTGTGGCTCAACAAATTCCCACTTTATCTAACTGACTCTCCAGCAGTTTTTGTAGTGTGGAGAAATTGCCCATCTTTCTGTTCCAGGATGTCAGCCACAACAGTCATGACAGTGCAATACAGAGGATATGATATTAAGCTTCACTAGGCAGTCCCAGGTATTAAAAAACTTCTCCCTAATCCACTGTATCCTGTCACTGGTGATTATTTATTGCTACACCTTCCCATTGTGCTAGATGCTCCGAGGAGAACACAAAGTACAGCACACAGATGCTTTCAATACATAACCGAACAATCTAATTTACATTAAGGCTTCACAACATTTTACATCCTAAAACCTGGCTTCTTCAGTTTCTCTTAACTTCATCAGACTTAATCCAAAATGAAACACTGTTATGCTGGATACCTGCCCCATGAAGAATATAATTTTAACCTGAATTGGGGCAAAGGGGTGGGGAGAAAGGAGGTGGGAGAAGATAGAGAGGGAGGGAGGGAGAGGAAGAGAAAGAGAGAGGGAGGAGGGAGAGAGAGCGAGAGCAGTTTTATGTCTAGCTAGTACTTTTTGAAAAAGTGAAGACTTCTTTTTTGGAGTCACTCTAGTTGCCTTCAAATTTTGAAGACAAGCTTTTTTATTTAAATTTTTTTTTTTTCTATTTAAGAACAAGTCCTTATCAACACATGAATCCATCTAATCGTCCCCTTAATACATGAGTCCAGAAGAAAAAGGACAAAAAAGTCCCCAACAGCTCATGGACGCTGAGTATATAAAAACATTTTCTTTTTAAATAGTCCATCCTCCACCACCTGAGAGCTGACCAGACTGTGTACGCATCATTCCCATAAAGAAACTGAAGATCCTCTTAATGATCTAAAGCACGTGTTTTAACCAGCATTCCTGTATTTATGTAAACTTCCGGCTAGCATGTGGACAACATGGAGATGGAAAGCATCCAATCTGAATGAAAGGTTCAAGCAAAGGGGGTGAAGGTATAAGACAGACCAAAGAATTTTATAAAGAACTAGGGAGGAAAGACACAAAGATTGGCTGGGCAAAGAAATTCAGAGCTTGGCTCATCTCTACAGCCCTGCGTCTCCCAAAGCTGAGGAAAGCCTGGATTCTTGGAGCGTGTTCCAAGTGTCTTTGTTCTTCTCACATCGATGAGCTCACTAGCAAAACATCCATCTCCTCCAGTGCTAGTTCATTTTCTACTGCCATTGGCATTACTACATTAGTTTAAATGGCAAAGGTCTATGCAAATATGTCTCAGCCCAACAGATCATTCCCACAGTTGGCTGTAAGGAGTCACACCATGCTGTTAGGTTTGCACTAGTTTTATTTTCAACTACATATAAAGCATCAGGGTTGCAAACTCACACATACAAAAATTAAGAATAGCTACAAGTAAGCCTGCTTTGTGCAAACTTTATCCACTGCTTTGTGCACTTGCGTTGCACTTAAAATCTCACATTCTATGCTCTTGAGATGGGTCTTCTCTAGAAATGAACTGGGAAAAAGAACAAGAAAATGTTTGTTCTACCCTTAATGTCTTACTGGTTTGAAAAGTTAAAGAAATTGTGATATATACGAAGCATGAGATTGCAAAGAGAAAAGGCAAAACAAAACTAGAGAACGAGGCCACCAAAAGCTATCCTTGCCACTGCCACTGAGTTCCAATATGACAGCAGGCCAGTGCTTTCCCTTGCCTTTACAGTTATTTTTTGTAGGTTTCTTATTTTACAGGTATCTATTTAGATAATCTGCAGTCCAATTTGTGTACATACTCAGCACACCCGGTGGCAATTAGGACCAGTGCTTTAAACATAGGAATTGCTTTACACTGTAAAATGCAAATGGAGACAGGGCAGCAACACTCCTGCCAGGTGAAGGAAATTCATTACTGTTAATGGAGTACTTAAATGTTATGGTGATAACCAGCAAAAGAAGGCTCAGGAGTAATTTAATAAATCTGCTCTTTGCGAAGGCTTTCGCTAATATAGTTTAAATGAAACTGGAGCTGCACATAAAACAGTAAGTGTAAGGTTAAATACTAGAGAGCAGTGAATTAAATTAATACAATACATCTTAATGCCATGGCTCTGCAAAGAATTATGTGAACATAATGCATGAACACAGTTAAAAGATACAGCTACAATAACCGCTCAAGTCAAGCCATAAACACTGTGCAATTCAAAGCTCACACACACAAAAAGCCCAACCTGAACAGCAAATCTAGAGGTGAGGTTGTAAAGAAGTGCAGTTATATCCTTACAGAAGCTAGGCAAGTCTATGCAACTTCTAAGGGAAAAAAAAAAAAAAAAGTGTTAAAAGATGTTACAGGTACATTTTAAGTACCCGACTTCTAAACAAAAGAGGAAAAGGACACACAAACAGCCCGCCCCCCAATATTTACCTTACTGCAGTACAGCATCCAAAGCTCATACAGCCTCTCTCGGGATGCCATTCCTTCCCTTCTTCTTTTGGTCGATGGCAGCTAATTTTGTTCAAGATCCCACCATGCTCAGTTCCCAGGTGCTCTTCCCGCAGTTTTCGCTTTATTATTACAGTTATATCATAACTCGTGAAGAAGTCAAGGATGAAAATAACAGAGTCTCAGTCTCTCCTTTTCGGGTAAACAACGCAGCACAACACAAGCAACCGCAGACAAGGGTTAAGCATGTCCGTTCTTCGCCAGCGCTGCCTCGGTTTTACTCTCTAAAAGTGAAAACAGACCCTTCAGGCCTTTGGCGAGGGAGAGAAAAAACCGAATCCGTACTTAAAGCCCACAGACGGCGTCGGGAATTGGGCGGCGGCAGGCCGCGCTGCTTTCGTCCCTGACGTTATTACCCCTAAAACGGAGAAGTCTGGTTTATAATTTTCGTGGCGCTTTCTCTTTTTCGCAGGCAGCCAGCGGGGAGGAGGCAGCAGGGCTGCTGAGAGGGGTCGGCGGAGCCCTGAGGGCGCG